CCAAGCTATATCTAAAACTTAATATTCGGTCCAGAACTTTTAATCTCACACTGAAGAAGAAAAACAACAACAACAACAATGGTCTGCAAAATTTATGATTTGAAACGTGTTTTGCATCCTGTGCCTTTATTTTTTTTTCTCGCACTGAGGTAGTTTCTCTGTAGATGGTTTGATTTAAGGCTATGTTTCGCTTTCGAATGATAGCAAAAAACAAGAATTAGAATAGATAGATAGATAGAATTTATAATTAGATAGATAAATAGAAATTATGATTAGACAGATAGAGAGAATTTATGATTAGATAGATAGATAGAATTTATAATTAGATAGATAGATAGAATTTATAATTAGATAGATAGAATTTATAATTAGATAGATAGATAGAATTTATAATTAGATGAATAGGTAGAATTTGTAATTAGATAGATAGATAGAATTTATAATTAGATAGATAGATAGATAAGAAGACTGATAGCAAGATCTATTCACATTTGGACAGACAGACATATAGACAGAACTATAGTTAGATACAGATATAGTAATAGATAAAAAAAACATCTCTCGCACATGTAACAATCAACAAAATGCTTGCCTTGCAAACGCAAGCATTAGCCAAGCAAAGAAAATATTCCTAAAATATGTTTGTTTCTCCCGAGAAAATAGCTTCCCCTGAACCTCAATTGTTTGCTCGGAGTGGTTCTGAAGCGAGCAAGATCTCTAAATCCAGAACTGATCCCAGGCGTAAAACCAATAGCATTAAAGTTGCTTGCAAATAGACAGATATCAATGCATGCACGGAAATAACACGCGATGCACTAGTAGGGAGGATTGTATGCACGTTCATGAATGCATGTTCAAGTAAAAGTGTGTTTGTGGGAACGGAAAGTTACGATAGATATTTGCCTCGCTGATGAAAATAAAATTTAAATGTCTTTTACTGTTTTCCTCTAAAACACTGGAATGGATGTTGCATTTTACATGAATATATTTTTTGGGTAGTATATAGGATAAGATATGGAATCTTTGCGTTCTATTTCAAGTATTTTTAAAAGGCTTTTGATTTCATTATGATCATTATTATTATTATTATTATTATTATTATTATTATTATTATTATTATTATTATTATTATTATTATTATTATTATCATCGTCATTATTATTATCACCATCATTATTATTACTATCATTATTATTATCATTATCATTATTATTATTATTATTATTATTATTATTATTATTATTATTATTATTATTATTATCATCATCATCATTGTTATTATTGATACTACTGATACTACTTGATTTCATTGATCATCATCATCATCATCATTATTATTATCATTATTATAATTATTATTATTATTATTATTATTATCATTATTATTATTATTATTATCATTATTATTACTATTATTATCATTGTTATTATTATTATTATCATTATTATTATTATCATTACTATTATTATCAATATCACTGTTATTATTATTAGTATCATTACTATTACTATCATTATTATTATTTTTGTTATTGTTATTATTATCATTATTACTATCATTATTATTATTGGTATGGTGATTATGATTATTTATTACTATTGTTATTATCACTGTTATCATTATTATCATATTATTATTATTTTCATTATCATCATCACTCTCGTTATTATTATTATTATTATTATTATTATTATTATTATTATTATTATTATTATTATTATTATCATTATTATTATTATTATTATTATTATTATTATTATTATTATTATTATTATTATTATTGTTATTATTACTATTATCATTAATGTTATTATTATTATCGATATCATTATTATTGATATTACTATCATGATAATGATAATAGTAATAATAATAATGATAATAATAATAATAATAATTATAGTAATAATGACAACAACAACAATAATAATAATAATAGTAATGATGATAATAATGATAATAATAATAATAATAATAATAATAATAATAATAATAATAATAATAATAATAATAAAAGTAATAATATTGATAATTGTTATTATCATTATTACTAACACTTTTTTGTTGATAGGGGATTAGATTTATCCTGTCTATTTTGTCGCTTTTTACAAACCCCTAAGTATACCAACCCAAATCCCTGAACTGAAGATGTCCTGCGCCCTCTGTTCCCTTCCAGAGGGCGACGAAGGGCGGGGCGTGGCCGTGGTGACGTCACTCGCGCCGCTGGACCGCGAAGTCGCCGCTACACGACTCCTGCCGCTGGTCGTCGGCGACGCGCGGGGACTCACGGCCACGACCACCATTACCCTCACGGTGGCAGACCTGAACGACAACCTCATGAGCTCAGCGGATAAGACAGTCACCGTCATTCGGTTGAGGGTGAGTGTTTAGGGGGGGGGGGAATGGGAAGATGAATTTGGGGAAAGGTTATGTAGGTTTTGTTAATGGAGGAAGGTAAATGGGCGAGGTTATCTGGGGAAAGGAAAGGAGGTGTTTTTTTGTGATGTCTGTGAATGAAGGATGAATGATAGAACGGGCTTAAAGTATTTAAACAAAAATCAATTACTGGGGTCTCTATGAATATTTCGTTTTATTATTGTCTTGTTTCAAAATACCCCCATTTTTATCATCTTATATATCATGGCAATTACCCGTTCCTCCTGCTAATTGTTTTTCTCTCCCTGTTCTGCCTCTCCTCCGCTCTCCCCTCTCTCCCCTCTCTCCACTCTTCCTCTCCATCCCAAACCTCGTCCTCCTTCTCACACTCTTCTTGCCCCATCTTCACCTCCCTCCCCTTCCCATCTCCGCCCCCTCTCCCTTTCTGCCCCCTCTCCTCCCCCTCTCCCCTTCTACCCCCTCTCCTCCCCCTCTCCCCTTCTGCCCCCTCTCCTCCCCCTTCTATCTCCTTCGCACACCAAAAGGGCGAGACAGAAGCGCTCCCGTTGGGTCGTGTCTACGTGGACGACCCCGACGACTGGGACGTGGCCGACAAGACGTGGTCGTGGCGTACGCACGAGAAACACCCGCTCTTCACCCTCGACAGCCGCACGGGGGAACTCACCATGAGCGGCCATGCGAGGGACTCCACGTAAGTTAGTTATGCTCCGTCCGCCCAGACTCTCTCTTAGTTGCATTACGGTTACAGTTCCTCGGGTGGGGTGAGTCTAGGCTTCGAAAGGTGTTTAATAATGTTACAACTGCGTGATGATCTTTAACACATTTCCTAGACGACCAGATGATTATCATAAGTTCTATTTGCTCGTGAAAAAAAGATAAAAAGAATGGCAGTGTTTGAGCAACCAGCACTGTTGGTCTAGTCCCCCCAAGGTCCCTAGAGAGTGCGCCAAGTCCCAGCCAAAAGGGTGGTTATACTTCCAGAGTCAGACGGGCTAGTGGAACCTCGGCTTTACCCAATTCCGGAGCAGATCCTAGTCAGGGATTGGCACCCTTTGGCCAAGACTAGGCGCACCATTTACGGAACTAGGGGGAGCCAGACCTAAAATGTTTTGCCAGAAATTCTTTTTTGCAGATATTTAATTTTGTTGAATATCATTTTGCAGTTGTAGCATTATTAAATATTTCTAAACGTTTATTTCCGATGTTCGTGCTGATTTTTACTGCACATTTATTCATTCAAGTAATCACATGGGACCATGAATGATTACTAGCTACATTTTCTCAAACGACCGTGATATATTGTAAATACATCGGTCTCTTTAATACTATCAATGTTTTGATCCATCATATTTAGGGATTTATGATTTCTTTCTCTTTGAATTAACAGGCAAAGGAATTGGGAGGAAATATGATAATGTAGGCCATCACGCTTCCTACTGACAATTACGTATCAATATGAGGTTATTGGCCGGAGATAGCTTTGGAATCGGGTTTTAAGTAATAAATAAGTTAGTTTGTAGGTCAGTTAGTTTATTAATTAGATAGTTAATGAATCGATTAGTTTACTATTTCTTTTAATAGGTTCGCGTCCCCGATACGAACAAAACTAGCATCGATGTTTATAATTTTCCCCGTTACTTTGGAGTATCCGTGACATCACTCTACGGGCACCTTCGCCATGTTTAACTAACACTAATTTACTTTTTCAAAATATTTGGGGCTCTTTTCTTGTTAAGTTTAGGCCTGGGAGATAAATATGCTTTACAATAGTCATGAAAGTAAATACAAAATAGAAGGATTACTTTACTTTATCGAATTCGCCGAAATAATGAAACTGAACAAGAATAAATTTAAAAAACAATATCAGATCTAAAATAAAAGCCAGTTTGTAATCAACATTTCCAATAAATGTAATAAAACAAAGTAAAATTGAATCCGTGGTTTCCAAAAGGGTTCGTGTAAGGTTAGCAAGGGGTCGCGAAGCCCATGGGAAAAATATGGTAGGCAATTTGCTAGGCGCTTGTCAGTGGTCGTGTTAGGAATATGTTGTGAAGCTTTGTCTTTAAGGAATATTGTGTTGTAAAGAGGTTTGTAAAGTTTGTAAAGCTTGTATGTGTTCCTGATTTTTCTGGTTTATTTTTCTCTTAGCTTCAAAGTATGTAGTTAGAAGAAATGATAAAGAATGTATAGGGTGTTGAATATATATATTTTTATGTCTAGTTTAAATGTATTTAATTAGGAAAAAAATGATACAGAGTGTACAGATTATTGAGTATTTTTCTTTCATTTAGCTTATAAGTATTTAGTTAAAAAAATAACAGAGAACAGCTGATGTCGTGGGGTCGCGGATGTGTTGGGGGGGGGGGGGGGCGAAAAAAGGGGTCGCGAGTGTAAAAAGGTTGGAGGGGATACAGAACAAAAAGAAACTTCATTAAACCACTGCCATATACAGGAAAATGAAATGAAATGAAATGCACCGGTCAAAATGGAACAGTCAAAATTAATCTAAAAAATCCCTCTTCTGTATTTTACTATGACATTTACAGCTTACATGTAACTTCGCTTCAGCAATAAAATACACATACACATACACACACACATACACATACACACATACATACACATACACGCACGCACACACACACACACACACACACACACACACACACACACACACACACACACACACACACACACACACACACACACACACACACACACACACTCACACACACACACACATTCACACACACATACACACACACACACACACACACACACACACACACACACACACACACACACACACACACACACACACACACATATATATATATATATATATATATATATATATATATATATATATATATATATATATACACACACACACATATACATACATAATATTTCTTTGTCTCGCGCCCGATCCCCCTGCCCAGTGACGTCATCGCAAATTACAATTAATTCAGGAGTGCCTTATCCCCTTATGCAGGGTTCGTATGCAGGCATTAATCAGTTTCTAATTAGAATGTTGTCATAGCTGCCAACGATAATTTCCGTGACAAGCTGTCATGTGCACGAAACCAGCAGCGCAGCATCACGAAAGATAACCCTCTCTCTCTTGATGCTTAGCCGTTGGAGGTTTTGATTTCATGAGATTTCGCTCGTTGATTTTGAAATTTGCGATTCGTCAGGTTGCGAATGGACGAAATGAATGTACTTCACTCATAATCTTATAAGTTAGATTATAAGATTATAAGTTACATTACAAGCTACATTCACGAAAAAAAAATCATACTTACAATTCTAGCGCCAAAATATTTTTTTCAAATGCCACTTCTTTTGCGAAAATCATAGTCCGACTTCATATTTTTTTTTTATCTTCCCGTATAGATACTTCTTGCAGTTTTGGGTCAGTGACGTCACTCAGAGGCAGGTGAACGTCCCCGCCAACGTCACTGTTAGCGTCACGAGTCTCAGCCGTGACGTCATCAAGTGTGCAGTGCCCATCACCATCACAACACATACCCCTCAGGCTCTGATTGCCGAGGGTTTGGTTAGTATTTTGCAATTGATCTGTGCAATTGCTTATTTGTCAGTAGGTTGCTTAGCTTTTCTTAATATTGTTTTAGTTGATATTTTTCGTTATTTTGTTATTTTTCGCTGTTCTTTGTTTTCTTTTCTTTTCTTAATTTTTCATCGTCATCCTCATTATCATCATCATCATTATCATCATTATCATCATCATTATCATTATCATCATCATTATCCTTATCGTCATTATCCTCATCATTATCAATATCATTATCAATATCATTATCATCCTTATCATCATTATTATTATCATTATCATTATCATCCTCATTATCATCCTCATTATCATTATCATCATCATTATCATTATCAATATCATTATCATTATCATTTTCATCATAATCATCATCATTATTATCGTTATCAATCATCATACTCATCTCCACTTCTACCTTCCCCCTCTTCTAGTTCTCCTTCTACCCCTTCTTTATTCTTCTTCTCTTCCATCTTTTGCTTTTTTCTTCTTCTCCTCCTCCTCCTCCTTCTTCTTCCCTGTCCATTCTTTCGTTCTTCACCCATTCTTCTGCAATTCACACATCACAAAACTCCATAATAATTCGACCTTGATTTACGTAAATTTATGCGGATATGTATTATTATTATTATTATTATTATTATTATTATTATTATTATTATTATCATTATTATTATTATTACTATTGTTATTAGTATTTTTATTACTTTTAAATAAATAGATCGCGACATTTCGTATTTAAAGTATGATTTTTTTTCGAACAGGACGTATGTTATATTTTGATAACAATATGCATAATTTTGCCTTTAGGGGTTTTTATTGATTCATAGTTTAATTCATTCGGCAATTATTGTTTAGCATTCCTTAAAATAAAATCCCTAATACGCATACACATGATTAGCAACAGAAATACATTTAATCCATCATGCAAAAACACAATATTGACAATGCATTCCAATCCAATATATTTTATAGGTCAGGCACTTAACTGAATATGAACAATTTCTGATAATTAGCCCGTCTGTTCACCAAGTATTCTAGCAAGAAATGCACACACACCATAACTATGAAAAAAATCAAGAAAATTGTAATTAAAATGGCGAAATTCCACACTAATGGGGATTGTCATTTGCAGTTTAATGAAACTGAATCTGTTGGCGTTGCATAGGACTTTTTTTTTTTTTTTTTTTTTTTTTTTTTTTTTTAATTCCTCCTCTCTATTTAGTTTTTTTTCCCCTTTTTTTCTTTTTATTAGATTGAAAAAAAAAATCTTTATTTATTGCGTAGCTTAGTGCAAGTGTGATTTTATACACAAGCTTTAAGTGTTATTTGAAGTCCTTAGTTTAGGGCTGTTATTTATTTTTTTTTAGACAAAAAAAAAAAAAAAAAAATGAATGAGAATATCCGGCGCTGGAAACGAACGTGTTGTTGTTTTGAATTTCAATGTTTTCAGTTTCATTGGTTAGTAAAATTTCCTTTACTATTTCTCTCTCTCATCTCTTTCTCCTTCATTTCCTTTCTGTCTCTTTTTCCTGATCTCTCTCTTGCTCTCTTGCTCTCTTACGCTCTTTTTATCTCTCTCTCTCTCTCTCTCTCTCTCTCTCTCTCTCTCTCTCTCTCTCTCTCTCTCTCTCTCTCTCTCTCTCTCTCTCTCTCTTCTCTTCTCTTCTCTTCTCTTCTCTCCCTTCCCCTGTGTCTCTACGTCTTTCTACCCTTCTCACATTCACTTTATCTCTCTCACCCTCTGTTTCTCCCTCTCCCTCCGTTGTCTTTATCCTCTCCTTTTCCCTCTCTCTGCTTCCTCTCTATCTTCTCACGATGTTTTCTTTCCCTTTTCCCTATCTCTCCTACCTCTCTATCTTCTTATTCCCCCTCTACTTTCCTCCTCTTTATCCTACTTTTATCCCTATCCCTCTTTCTTCTCTCTCCTCCTTTTCTCCCCCTCTCTTTACTCTTCTCTGTCCTCCTTTTCCCCCCTCCTCTCTATCCTCCTTTTTCTCCCCCTCTCTCCCTCCTCTCTATCCTCCTTTTCTCCCTCTCTCTCCCTCCTCTCTATCTCATCTTTTTCCCTCTCTCTCCCTCCTCTCTATCTCCTCTTCCTCCATCTCCCTCCCTCCTCTTAATCCTCCTTTTCTCCCTCTCTCTCCCTCCTCTCTATCTCATCTTTTTCCCTCTCTCTCCCTCCTCTCTATCTCCTCTTTCTCCCTCTCTCTCCCTCCTCTCTATCCTCCTTTTCTCCCTCTCTCTCCCTCCTCTCTATCTCATCTTTTTCCCTCTCTCTCCCTCCTCTCTATCCTCCTTTTTCTCTCTCTCTCTCCCTCCTCTTTATCCTCCTTTTTCTCACTCTCTCTCCCTCCTCTCAATCCTCCCTTTTCTCCATTTCTCTCCCTCCTCTCTATCTCCTCTTCCTCCCTCACTCTCCCTCCTCTCTATCTCCTCTTTCTCCCTCTCTCTCCCTCCTCTCTGTCTCCTCTTTCTCCCTCTCTCTCCCTCCTCTTTCTCCCTCTCTCTCCCTCCTCTCTATCTCCTCTTTCTCCCTCTCTCTCCCTCCTCTTTATCTCCTCTTTCTCCCTCTCTCTCCCTCCTCTCTATCTCCTCTTCCTCCCTCTCTCTCTATCTCCTCTTTCTCCCTCTCTCTCCCTCCTCTCTATCTCCTCTTTCTCCCTCTCTCTCCCTCCTCTCTATCTCCTCTCCCCCCCTACACAGCACGTAGCTGGCTCAGCCCTGGACGCTCTCCTCACATCCGTGGAGTCGATCGCCAACGTGGGCGTGAGAGTCATTTCGCTCGAGTCCCAGACGCTCAAACTGACGCCCGTGAAGAGGGGGGGGACGCGCGTGTGGCTGACGGCGCGCTCCAGACAGCCCTTGGATCAGCTCCTCCTTCTGCACCGTCGCCAGGTAGGTTGTGGCTTCTGCGTGGGTTGTTGTGGGAGGCTCGTGTTGGGTGAGTCGTGTTGCCAAGTTGGGTTGGGTGAGTCGTGTTGGTGAGTCGTGTTGGTAAGTCGTGTTGGTGAGTCGTGTTGGTGAGTCGTGTTGGTGAGTCGTGTTGGTAAGTCGTGTTGGGTGAGTCGTGTTGCCAAGTTGGGTTGGGTGAGTCGTGTTGGTGAGTCGTGTTGGTAAGTCGTGTTGGTGAGTCGTGTTGGTGAGTCGTGTTGGTGAGTCGTGTTGGGTGAGTCGTGTTGGGTGAGTCGTGTTGGGTGAGTCGTGTTGGGCGAGTCGTGTTGCAAAGTTGTGTTGGTGAGTCGTGTTGCCAAGTTGGGTTGGGTGAGTCGTGTTGAGTGAGTCGTGTTGGGTGAGTCGTGTTGGGCGAGTCGTGTTGCAAAGTCGTGTTGGTGAGTCGTGTTTGTGAGTCGTGTTTGTGAGCCATGTTGCGTGAGTAGTGTTGGTGAGTCGTGTTTGCAAAGTTGGGTTGGATGAGTCGTGTTGGTGAGTCGTGTTGGTAAGTCGTGTTGGGTGAGTCGTGTTGGGTGAGTCGTGTTGGGTGAGTCGTGTTGGTGAGTCGTGTTGCCAAGTTGGGTTGGGTGAGTCGTGTTGGTGAGTCGTGTGGTGAGTCGTGTTGGGTGAGGTCGTGTTGGGTGAGTCGTGTTGGTGAGTCGTGTTGGTGTGTCGTGTTGCAAAGTTGGGTTGGGTGAGCCGTGTTGGGTGAGTCGTGTTGCCAAGTTTGGGTTGGGTGAGTTCGTGTTGGGTGAGTCGTGTTGGTGAGTCGTGTTGGTGAGTCGTGTTGCGTGAGTCGTGTTGGTGAGTCGTGTTGCAAAGTTGGGTTGGGTGAGTCGTGTTGGGTGAGTCGTGTTGCCAAGTTGGGTTGGGTGAGTCGTGTTGGTGAGTCGTGTTGGTGAGTCGTGTTGCGTGAGTAGTGTTGGTGAGTCGTGTTGCAAAGTTGGGTTGGGTGAGTCGTGTTGGTGAGTCGTGTTGGTAAGTCGTGTTGGGTGAGTCGTGTTGGGTGAGTCGTGTTGGGTGAGTCGTGTTGGGTGAGTCGTGTTGGGTGAGTCGTGTTGGGTGAGTCGTGTTGGTGAGTCGTGTTGCCAAGTTGGGTTGGGTGAGTCGTGTTGGTGAGTCGTGTTGGTGAGTCGTGTTGGGTGAGTCGTGTTGGGTGAGTCGTGTTGGTGAGTCGTGTTGGTGTGTCGTGTTGCAAAGTTGGGTTGGGTGAGTCGCGTTGGGTGAGTCGTGTTGGGTGAGTCGTGTTGGTGAGTCGTGTTGCCAAGTTGGGTTGGGTGAGTCGTGTTGGTGAGTCGTGTTGGTAAGTCGTGTTGGGTGAGTCGTGTTGGGTGAGTCGTGTTGGGTGAGTCGTGTTGGTGAGTCGTGTTGCCAAGTTGGGTTGGGTGAGTCGTGTTGGTGAGTCGTGTTGGTAAGTCGTGTTGGGTGAGTCGTGTTGGTGAGTCGTGTTGCCAAGTTGGGTTGGGTGAGTCGTGTTGGGTGAGTCGTGTTGGTGAGTCGTGTTGGTGAGTCGTGTTGCGTGAGTCGTGTTGGTGAGTCGTGTTGCCAAGTTGGGTTGGGTGAGTCGTGTTGGTGAGTCGTGTTGGGTGAGTCGTGTTGGGTGAGTCGTGTTGGTGAGTCGTGTTGGTGTGTCGTGTTGCAAAGTTGGGTTGGGTGAGTCGTGTTGGTGAGTCGTGTTGGGTGAGTCGTGTTGCCAAGTTGGGTGAGTCTTGTTGTAGAATCATGCTTAAGTGTTTTATTGCAGACCCGTGTTGCGAAATCATGTTGAAGAGTCGTTTTACAGAGTTGTGTTGCAGAATCGCGTTGAAGATTCATGTTGCAGTGTTGTTCTCTTGCTGTTGGGTGTAATGTGACACGGTCGTTGATGAGCTGATTTTGTTTGCCTGCTAATCATTCGGCCTGTCTGTCTCTTCTCTCGGTTTCTGTCTGTCTGTGTGTCTGTCTGTCTCTCTCTCTGACTCTGTCTCTGTTGCTGTCTCCCTCTCCCTTTCCCTCCCCCCTCCCCCTCCCTATTCCTCCCTTCCTCCACCCCTCTCACTCTTTTTTTTTTGTCTGCCTGTCTTTCAGACTCTCTGTCTCTGTCTCTGTCTCTGTCTGTCTGTCTGTCTGTCTGTCTGTCTGTCTCTGTCTCTGTCTCTCTGTCTCTCTCTGTATCTCTCTCTCTCTCTCTCTCTCTCTCTCTCTCTCTCTCTCTCTCCCCCCCCCTCTCTCTCTCTGTCTGTCTGTCGGCCTGGGTATCTTTATTTATGGGCATACATACGTAAACGTGAGTAAGTTATCAATATTCTGATTATTATGTAAATCACTTTTGCAAACCATGTGCATATTTTCGACAGATCCGCACACATTCTTTCCCATTCGTTTATTCATCATTATAATAGATATTATTACACCTATTATCTTATTTCCAACTCACAATAGCGCCATTACAAAGGATAACCTGGATAGGTCTGCAACAATTTACCGAAATTTCCATTCGATCAGCTGAGCTCTAATGTCCCTTTTCCGTAACCGAATGCTAATCATATGCCAGCCCCTGAATGCCTGTTATTGATGAGACTGTCACAATCCTTTATTTAGGAATATTATATGCGTTCATTTAGTAGGGACATTGCTGCTCACCAGATTTAGCGTGGCGTAATGTTTTTTTTTTTTTTTTTTTTTTTTTCAACGCGATTAATAGATGTTTTATTTCATTCGCGAAGCTTTGGTTATGTCTGCGTGGGTTTCATTGTTCCGAGAGCAAGGGAAAGCGTTGTGTTGGTGGTGATTCAGCTTCGGGTTGATTCATATTCTTTTTGGTTGAGATATATATATATATATATGTTTGTGTGTGTGTGTGTGTGTGTGTGTGTGTGTGTGTGTGTGTGTGTGTGTGTGTGTGTGTGTGTGTGTGTATGTATATATGTATATGTATGTATATATATATTTATAGATATATGTATATATATTTTTTTCTTTTTCTTCTCTTTTTTCTAGGGAGGTTGACTTCCTTTAATGAGAAAGATTTTGATTTTGGCTGATACTCCTCTTGGTGAAAGATATATTGATATTCTTTTTTGGTTGACTGATATTCTTTTGAATGAAAGAAAACGTAATAATTTTTCTCTCTTTGCTCTTCCTTCTCCTAAAGATCTCCAGCGAATCCGGAGTGGGCGTAGTGAACGTGGGCGTAGGTGCGTGTGTGACCACACCGTCCATGGAAGACATGCGGGCGTGGGTGGTAGACGCCAACAAGACGGCCCTCGTCACACCCCGCCTAGACGCCCTCGATACAGGCTGCAGCTGCCACGCCCACCCGTCACAGATGAGGCAGCACCTCGCCCATCTCGGGGGCGCCGACCAGCAGCCCAGCGTCGCCGCAGTCACCCACACGGCGTCGTGCCAGCCCAACCCATGCCTCAACGGCGGCCGCTGCATCGCCCTCGCCAACGGGCCCAGGTGGGGGTGAGGGGGAGATGGGAGGGGGGGAGGGGGGGGGGGGATGAGGGGTGGAAGGGGAGCACGTGATTGAGTGGAGGGGAAAGTGAGAGTGAGAGGGATAGTGAAAGTGAGAGTGAGAGGGAGAGTGAGAGTGAGAGAGAGAGGGAGAGTGAG